TGTTTGGCTGTCCAGCAATGCTGTATGGTTGCGACGGGAAGGAACCCCCGTGTGATTAACCTCACACCTGGCCCCGTTTGTGCACGCGGGGCCCTGGGATCCAGCGCAAACTCGTCGTCGCTCTGTGCAGACATGGGTATTGCTGTTGCTGTCCTGCAAACCTCTCTGTCGTTCTCCCTCTCCCCGAGATTGTGTTTTTTGGTGGTGTGTGTTGGGTGCACGTGCGTGATGCATGCGTGCGGGTTTTCTTTTTTGTCGCCAATTCGGTCCCAATAGTCCACGGGACTGTAGGTTAGGTATAGGTTTTCGAGTTTTTGTGGAAAGATGTTAGAGTTTTAGGCGGAATCGCCCCTGGAAGATCCGGCGTACAAAAACTCGAAAACCCGAACATCTCTTTGGGCTGTTGGACCTTCCTGGCCAATCACATGATTACACCGCTTGTTCGATGTTCGATGTTCGAGTCCAAAAAAATTACGTAGGACCCACCCTTAGCGTCAGTGAAGGGTTTGGCGAGAATAATCAACATCAGATTTTTTTTCGCCCGCACCGCTCCCCTTCATGCGGTAGGTACTCGTCTTCGTCGTCAAGTCTATAGACTTTATAGAAAATAAAGACCTTCTAGGTAAAAAAACGCAAAACTGAAGCCGTCGGAAGCATATTAGACAGGACAGCAGATAGATCTTGGTGCATGCACCGGCCCGCCGCATGCAGTACGAAAAAAGACTCACAATTACTTGGCTCATATACATACAGCATTCAGTCGTCGATGCCCATCATGCAGTGGTTTGTTCGGCTATCTGTCGGACTGGTTTCTAAATCAATGTGACGTTTCTAAATGTGATGATGCGAGCGCCACAGAGCAGCACGCACAGCAGTGCATGGATTTTTGGCGGGGGGGGGACGGTGATGAACCATCCCCGACTAAGGTCTGAAAAATTTATTACATACATACCCGTGACCACGGGCTGCGAGTCATTGCTAGATTTTGGCATTTAGCAACTGACATACGGTTTAATGTGAAGACAACAACAACAACAACCCGGACATGTGAATGGTGGATTCATTTTTTTTTGTACTGTATTTGGCCGGGTTTCAACTCATTTGCCGTTTTTCACTAGGGAATTTCTAAAAACGCAAAACCCGGGGATGGTCCTGAAAAATCCCCGCTTTTGAAAAGTTGTCAGATTGATCTGAGAATTTCAGGTCAGGGTAATTTTGGGATGGGGATTACGAATCCGTGGTCGATTTTATTCAATTCCATTTTGTTGTTGAGTTACAAGTACTTATTTAATAGCATCGTCTCCTAAAAGAGACAATCAAAAATATTTCAAGAATTTTCAGTCAGCTTTGGCAAAGCTCATGATCGAGCCTCTCTGCCCACCTGAGTGTTGGTCTGAGCAACTTTCTGAGTAGCTCTACCCCCCCTAGATCGGCCAAGCGGGAGCGATTGCCGCGGTGAACGTAGGCCTGTCCTCCATCGGCCGTTTTGCTTGTATGACGGAGAATAAGAAGGTGGAATTACTTGAAATTAGTATAGGAATAAAGTTTGTGTATCTAAATCGAAAATAAAACGGCCGATGGAGGACAGGCCTAGGTGAACGATGAAAAAAAAGTTCGGGAATGCGGCGAAAAAATATGAAGGGGTTCGTTCCCGAACCAATTTATTTTTGTTCAACTTTTTAGACGTCGGTTCTCAGCGTTTCAAAGCGAGAAAAAAAAACGATTTTTGATTTTCTTTTTTTTTCAGCTAGGGAGAGCCAATGGCTATCGACTGCGGATGGCGCCTATTTTATAGTCAATATATATATATTGTTTTCTCCCATCATTGGACTCTGTCGTCTGCCCCTCTCACTGGCCCCTATCCTTCACTTCTACCAGCTAGACGACCCAACCGGGGTCANTCGACTGCGGATGGCGCCTATTTTATAGTCAATATATATATATTGTTTTCTCCCATCATTGGACTCTGTCGTCTGCCCCTCTCACTGGCCCCTATCCTTCACTTCTACCAGCTAGACGACCCAACCGGGGTCACATAGGTAGGTAGACTAGCGGTGTTCCTCGTTGCGACGCTGATATTGGTTGGGAAAAAAGTACAAACTTCTGTGCTGTGTTTTTCAACACGTCCCCGTCTGCTGCTGCTGTAGAGTAACGGAGGGTATTAGGGGAACCTTAAGGCACCCCGCACCCCGGCAGCTCGTTCTCTGGTGTCACGATGATTTTTGAAGAGTTTGAGGTATCACATGATAGCTATTTAGTGGCACAACCTACAAGTTAAAAAAAGGAATCTTGAAAAAAGTTGAGGTAGCGATGATATGTAGCCCTCGAAGTATACTTCATTTTCCACATCAAAATGCGGGGGAAATGGCCGTGCGGGCAACAAGGGCAGCTTACGGTAGTGGTTGATTTGAGCAGGTTCTAAAGAGTTTTATAGCCTAAAATTTGGCACGCACGCTCTTAGTAGGGCAATGAACAATCGATTACAAAAAACAAATAATATATTGGTTCACAACCGGGGACAAAAGCTCATACCCCCGGTTTTTCGGCTCAATTCTGCAGGGCGTAAAATAGCCTTTTTCGGGGGTAGCGCGCGTTGTTTGGCCGCGACACAGCTCAACCGTGCAAGTTGATGAAATAACGACTAGTGCGCATGCTACTCGAAGTCACAAAAAAAAAAACGATAATCGGATGCTAAGCACTGTGCTATGCCTGTCCAAACATAGGTACTTTGCCCCCATTTTTTGGCTTGTACGGCAGTAAATTCCGCCATAACCATGCCACATGTTCAAGCGACTAATTTGCACCCATATCATTCCCCCGCGCGACGCTGTTGAAGAGAAACGTATTGAAGGTTTCAGAAAACACGTTGGGTGAGAAAGCACACACAGACGCACAGCCCAGGGGACAAAAGCACAGCACCCCCGGGTTTCTCGATAAATTGTCCGCCCGCCCGTTCCGCCCCTCCCGTGCTGTTTGTTACCCACGTTGCATGAAGCTAACCCTTAGACATATTATACTGAACAGTTCGAAACCGCTTCCACACACATTTTCAAGCCATTCGGGGATAACCTTGCCCCACAACTATGTGGTTTAACAGCACAAGAAAACACCCCTTCCCGAAAACACCTAGACATTCACGACGGGTGTCGGCGTCCGCGTTCGTCCCGATCGGGATACGGACGCCGACGGCTGACCCTCGGTCATTCCCGCCCCTCCCACCCCTCCCGCCCCTCGCGCCTCTCTCCCACCGCGGCTAGGACCGCCGCGTCCTCGCCCACGCTCCCCCGTTCCCTCGCTGCGACCACCAACATTGCCCCCGCCCCCCCGCGCGCCCCCCCTCGCCCCCCTCGCCCCCCTCGTCCTGCTCGAACAACACCAACACCTCGCCCATTCTCTCTCTCGCTCCGCTCGACCCTCCTACTCTCTCCTCTCCCC